TGCTTTTTCTGCAGCTTAATGAAGACACAAAGAGAGTAACTGTGCACCAATAGCTATAATGAATAATCCTGTTCCCATGATTCTACTTAAAGAACTTGAGATCTTATTTAATTTTTATATATATTCCTTTTATTAATAAGCAACACTCTGGTTCCTGATGGGACTTTCGCAGTCATATGTTTTCTTCTTTGGTGGATGGAACTTGAATCTCTTAGGATGTACCTTAAAAAAAAAAATTAATTCTCAGAGCATAACAAGCTTCCTAACCCAACAGTGACAATCTTAACCACAAGCTGATGCTAAGACATCTTGGGACCAATTTACATCCAGTTTCAGAGCCTGCACCTGGCCTTGGTGATGCCTGGATTTCCTTTGTGGTTTTGCATTCACATTTTCCTTGGTTTCTTCCTGCTGCTTTCTCACACTCACATGAGAACCCCACACAACCAGGGGAGCTGTCTGACTAATCAGTGGTATAAAGGAAACAGTGACTGTGAGTAAAGCTCTCTCAGCATATGCTGCTGAAAAAAAAAAGGGGAAAAAAAATTTGGGGTGGGAGAATGTGAGTTGTAATCAAAGAAATTACAGTTAATGTTAAGCGGTGGAAATGTTCAGAAAAATACAACTGGTTTAGGACCGTCCTTTACATTCTTGTTTCGTCTGCGGGCCCTGATGTGACTCCCTGATTTTAAGTTAAATTAGGTGTTTCAGAGAAACGTTGAATTTAGTGAGATGGCTGCAGTGCATGGAGTGTTAAGACTTGTCCTCTACATCTTGAAATGGTGTAGACCAGAACTATATATAATTGTATCTTCATTAACTCTTTGGGTTTGATAGGAATTACTGGATTTGATTAATATTGAGGTTCAACAAGTTATTTCAACACAAGGGAATTGATATCTTTCCCAGTGTAACAGTAAGTTAAATATCCATCAATGGCAAAAACAAGCATAGAGCTTTTCCTTCTTCTTGAGGCCGAAGAGCCTTAGGTTGCTTTGAAAGGAAACAAAAGTAAGAAACCAGAAGCTGCTGGTTTGCCACCAGAAAAAAAAAAAAAAATCCTACCTGAATATAGGCACATCTTTGCTCTCCATCACCCACACTGAGGGAATCTAAGAGTTCTGTGGAGGGGAGAACACCGAGCTGCAGAAATATCACAGGCGAGGAATTGTGCAAGGTTTGTTGGAAAGTCCACATCTACTTGGAAGCAGTACTTTTTTATTCTTTGGTGTTCTTAGAGGGGACTTGATGTACTTGTAAACTGAGCTCTGGCCATTGTCAGTGTGAAAAGCAAACAGGGGCGCAATGTTCCATGGTGTGTATTTTCAAATGTATTCCAAAGGGGAGCAGTGCCGTCAGATATTTCCTAGGGAAATGCAGATCTTTCAGTGTGGACATGATTGCCCTTGACATAGTGTACCCTTGTGTTCAGCCTGGAGGAGTCTTCTCAAGATGGTTACAGCCTGCTTATTCTTTGCAAGTGGAAGATGTATAGAAGCCCAAAGCTTGAGTACCTATAATCACTGTAAGTTAGCCAAATTAAGTTAGCCTTAAAAAAGTAAGTTAGCCTTATTAGCCAAAACCTTTGTTTTTACAGCCATCCTGATAAAGTTAGAATTACACCTGGTGGGCATATCTGCCATTTAGCTGGAAGGCTCTAAAGAGGATTGCTGAGGCACCAGTAGGACTGATGGGGAATATTTATAGCTAGTAGAAAAATTCTGCCAGCTGAAAAGTTTGTTCCACCATTCCAATACATGATGCTTGCAATGCCATGACCCCCAGAGCACAGCACATGATTCTCTGGCAGAGTTTTAGGGGGTGCATCAAAGCCTCAGTGATATAATGAAACAAAATAAAGGGAGGAGTTTTCTTATTTCTATGTAGAACTTCTATTTCAAAGGGAATATACACTGGAACTAAGCTGAGGTGGTCTCTGTTGGGCTGCCCCAACATCATGCCACGTAAGATGGTGACATTTTTGGCAAACTTGACTTATTTTGGACATATGATGGCAAACAGTGTTAAAATGCATTATCAGAGGTAATGTGACTGCTTGAAAAATGGGACAGCACTGAGAGGTTTGAGACAGCATGAGCTTGCTGTTTGAGACAGCAAGAGTGTCTCTGAAACCGCTGCTTCACATCTCTGACACTGAACTGCAGTTTTTAATGACCTGAGCATAGTAATAATAGTAGCAGTAATAGCAACAAAAACTATTATTGTTGTTGTTATTGTTATTTATTATTATTTGAGGAAGCTATAATAATAATTTTGCAGCTGAACTGTGTTTGTTATTTCCTTGTGTGGTGCTGACTGGAGGGGGTACACAGCTGGTGGGCCCTGCACGGTGGTGGCATCTTCCCGACATGCACCACTTTTTCCAGATCAGCAGTTTTCCTTTGACCTGCCCTAAACTCTGGCCTGTTCAGAGGAATAATGCCTGCAGGGGAGATACCTCCAGTATAGCTCTTAGTCCTTTTGTGATGGTTTTCCCAGATCCCTTTTTTTTTTTTTTTTTTGTTCTAGAAATGTAGCAGAGAGATTTGTGTGAGAGGGTTGATTAAACCACAGCTGTGCCATACAAACTGTGTCCCAAAAATTCAGGATTATTTCAGGTGGGCTTGAAGAGCAAGGCCTGCCCAAAAGACCAGCCTCATCTTCAACAGCAATGTGGCGTCATTCTTTTTCCCAGGTGTTAAAAAATCACCTGGACTCACAGTTTCTCACAGCATGGGAATATTTAATAAGGAAGGAATACCACTTGCCAATGGTACTCTTTTGCACATAGGGGCTCTAAAAGTTCATTACAAAGCACAAATATTACTGGTGTTGCGAGGCATCACAAAGGAAACCTTGGGGTGGGCTCTGCAGTGCAGCATGCCTTGTGGCTTTGTCATCTTTCACACAAAGTAGGGCTGAACTGAACCTAGAAAATCAGCTTTTCCTTTCTGAGTTTATTTAGGGTGATTTTGGAAGTCTCTTTGAAGGCCTTTAACAGGCTCATGAGAGCAAATTATTGAATTACCTTTTTAACTGCCACACAACTCTGTAGGGTCTGGCACTATAGAGACAGTTGGAAAGGAAAAAAATGGGTTTGGGGGGTTTGTTTTGTTTGTTTTTTTTTTTAGGTAAACAGTTTTGCCCAAAAGCAAAATTTGCATTCCAGAGGCAATACTGTCTTTTTCCAAACTTACCTTCTCTCCCACTCCTGGCTCCTTCTGGTAAGGGAGAGACATTCTTATCCAGAGGGGTCAATCCAGCCAGAAAATCATGCCTGGAAGCCATGGCACCATGGGGATCTCTGGCTGCCCCTGAGGGAGCTGCATTACCACTGACAGTCAATATTTTCATGTTTTGTTGGCACTTTGCAGCCACGGTATTTTAATGACAACTCTAAGCTGGTTTTATATACAAAACTTCAAGTCGAGAAAATTTGTTTCCACAGAATTTGTTTAAAAAATAGGGAAAGAGATCTTTAAGCCCCATGCACTAAGGGTTTTCTCCACAGAGAGAAGATCACGTTGCAAAGCATCCAAAGGAATACAGAGTATTTTCAGATGATCGTGTTCTGTTAATTGCCATTGAGACCTCTCTGGTTCTCCAGCTGTCACAGAGTAATATTGCTGTGGTATTACAGTTTCACACTGGTGAGTTCGTAGACAGCTTTCAAGCTGATGGCTGTGTGAGACTCATTCCCAAGCTCTGCATTCGGGCTGCCATTGGCATCAGTCTCAAAGGCTGGATGAACGGGACAGGCTGGTAATTTACTGTATCAACACAAGGAATAAACCGGGATGTTCAGCACAAACATAACTTTTTTTTTTTTCAAGAAAGACACATTACCAAATTTTGAGTTGCAGTAGATCATCTGGTGAAAAAAGTAATCCACGAAAAATAATCCACAAAACCAGACTCTGCTCATGAGTCATTCTGTAATCTGAGGTAAATTACTTACCACCTCCTTCCACCTGGAAACCTCCAGCTTCCCAGATAAATCGAAGAAAAATCAAAGAAAATCAGTATCCTTCCCCACCCTTCTCTTTAAAATATTCAGGCAAAAGGTGTTAGGCAAGTGAAAACCGCCCCACGTCTGGAAATATTTCCACTGCTGGTTTACAGAGGAAAACAACAATTTGACCCCATCACTTTGAAGAAAGGTAGAGAAGCAGTGCTGCTCGAACTAAAGAGGGATTTGTTTTATTTTGTTAATTGCAATCCTTTTGAAAAATGATACTTAGCCTGCCAGTGAGGTGCTAATTAATGTGAGGATGTGGTGCA